AATAAGATTTTATCATGAAATAGTTATTAATATTAATTAATATAATTTAAATAACTATTCAGCAAATATAAATTTCTGTTTAATACATACATATGTATATATTAAGTACCTCCGGTAAATATTTTGTTAACACGGATATGTAGATAACGTATGTCATTTACAAATGAGGATAGCATATGGACATACAAACTTGTCCTTTTGGGGATATCCCTATAGTGTCCACAAATGTATATCCTATGGACAGCTTGTAAGGCTCATGGATATCCCGACCAGAAATGAACATAAAACGGATGTCCATAGAATATCCTGTGCTGTCTGGGTATTAACTTTATCTTATCATCAAAATTTGTTACTTTGATCGTCTGCGACTGTCGCACGAACCGCATCTTTTCTCCCTCCACATAATACTCAGAAGAATTTATCAAGAGCGGACCTATTTATAGAAGCGCATAGCAAGAATGTGCTCAGTTGCCAAAATGTTTCTTATCGTGTCGGATAACAGTGATGTTCTCAGTTTAACCAACAAAGAGGTAAAGTACATACCGAAAGTCCCAGATAGCATTTGGATATTCTGAGTATGCTCTGAGAATATCTGATCGGGAAATTAATAATATTCTCAGAATATTCGACAAATATCTTCGGATATACTCAGTATATTCTGGGAATGATCAAATGTCCACTACTTTCTGATTCTGAGCATATAATGGCGATATTAGAAAAATATCTTGGGCATATGCGGAAAATATCCTAAGGATATAAGTCACAATGTATGAGTTTAATGTCTTTAATAGAACTATATATGGCTGAGTTCCGTAAAGTGCATGATGTATTATTTTATCCTTGTTGTTTACCAAATGTTAAACAAGAATAAAATGATAAATGCGCATCTTATCATTTACGGAATTCAGCTTGCATATGTAAAAAAAGATGTTCTAATATTATAAAAATATTTTGATTGTGAGATTATATTAAAATATTTTAATATTGTTAACATCCTTAGTGCATATAACATGCATATTCCATAAAAGACATTCGACCCACGCACTACAGATGCTGATGTATATATATTGTCACGAGCTCCCGTGAGTCAAGCAACTCACACGAGCCCGGATCAAACAAGGGTGCGGGAATCGCGTACGACTCCCGCGGAGGGAGGGTGGTAGTCCTCCGGAAGTGTGTCCCTCCGGCGACCGACGAGGAGCGGCAACGCGAAAAGCTGGGCGCCAGACGTGCTCTCCGTCACGTCACTCGCGAAACTTCACGATTGCCGAAATTCTTACACGCAACGGTACTGAACCCGTAGACGCCGCTCCCGATGTCGATCGCACGAGGGCCGGCCGGCTCCGCCTAACGGCAGAGGGGCAGGGCGAGGAAAAAGGGCGACGGGATGGCGCGGGGCGGGCGAAAGAATTCGCACTCCAACAGAGTAATAATAAAATAATAACAGATTTATTGGCCGCTCGGAACGGCAATAAGAAACGGTGAAAAAAAGAAAAAGTAACACAGTGTGATAAGACGAATAACGGACGCGACGCGACTTGTGCGGCGCTAATACGCGCGAACAATCCGACGGCACGACGAATTTCCGCGTACAAAAGAAAGAGACAAGCAATAGACTGGAAATTCGGCCGGAAACGAAAAGAAACGCGTTCAAAATTAGTCGGCGCGATTATACAATAACGGACGGGGCTCGGTACGGCGCGAGTACCGAGGTCTAACGACCACAATTAGTTACGCGAAAGTCAATCGTAAATTGACGCGTCCGATACTTGTACGAAGACGACGTTGACAGAAAATTAACACACCGATACGCACGGAAATCACGCGCAAGGTCACACTACGGCGCGACGCGCGACCTCGTGATTCCGCGTACTCACTCACGCTTACGCTAACGCTCGCGCGCTCGGGCGCGAGGGCTTTGCGGCGAATTCGCGACGACGATCTCCGGGTGGCTCGACACGCGATTCGCGACACGCCCGATCGCTCCCGGCAGAGTCTGTGAGAATCCTCGCACTTGAGGACGGGCGCCAATACACCAAACCAAAGAGTCCTATCCGATACGCGTCGCCGAAGGGGCTCACGCGACGAAACTCTGACACGAAAAATGGCGTTCCCGTCCGCAGAGTGCGAGCAAGATTCTCACTCAGCCCGTGGCTTTACACGAAAAAGAG